CACTCACTCACTCACTCACTCACTCACTCACTCACTCACTCACTCACCACCACTGCCACTGTCACCACGATCCCCACCTTCATCACCACCATCACCTCTTTGGACCCCAATGCGTCTAGATCTCTAGTCTTTCTGCTTTTTGACCTCACACACACTGTTGGGGGTCTCTTGCCGGGATAATTGAAATAATTAAATATATTCAATATTTTTAAATGTTTATCAATTCAACAGTATAGAATGTTTAATTCCAAGCTAAGTAATTTATTGTAAATCAATAGAATCGAATTCATTTATTAATACAAACATGTCCAATCTCCAAATATACTGATATTGTCCAAATTATCATCGTAATTAATTTATCAAAATAAACAACAATATGTTGTTTGTTCAATTATTTAATATCAATTACATCGCCAACAATATTGTGATATACCAAATAACACCGATACATATTCATATATTGCTCAAATACACTCCGAATTCATCCTTCCAAAATTTTATTCCCACGCAACTATCCACCAATATTCCCCATATACATCCTAATAAATTCATTTCGTTCGTCTAATAGAATTTCTGCCTTGTTTTCAGTTCTTGGAATAATATATTAGAACAATAGATTAGAATAATATATTGCGATTAGAATAATATATTGCCTACGGTTGTTAAGAATCGGTGCCCCCCAGGCGATAGCCCATTCTATTACAGTAGTTTGTTTATAGATTTAAAGCAATATTGTATATATGTATATTATGTAGATATGATCACCCCTTTCTTCCCTTTCTTCAAACTACTTATTTTATGTTTGTATGTGCACCATACCATAGAAACATCATTACCGATTGAAGTCGATTAATTCATATAAATCTGAATGTTCACATTCTACAAATTACATATATTGTCATATATTGTAATATATATAATTGCAACATTCTTCTCTGATTATTGTTGTTAGAAACCAGGAATCAATGATCCTGGGATAGATAGCAGGATGCCAAGTACCTCGATTAAACTGCACATATTCATTCAAATTCATGCCTGTGAATTGACGTTCCAAGGGCCGTACCAGCAACAGAATGGCGAGGTTGCGCAAGTTTGGGTCCGGTTCAGTAAGCGAATCCTCATGTCAAAATGTCACAGCAGCTCTTGCTGGAATAGTTAGATGCTCTGATATAATATGTAAACAAGTGGATTGCAAATTGTGGAATATTACGACAAGCAAAAACAGGAACAACCGGCTCCCTCCAGGTCAAGCTCCGAGTATGTGAAGCAACGGAGGCGGGAAGGTTGACAATATAGTCATCCTAAAACATTGTTAAACATTGCACTGCGCCTCTTTACAGCAACAGCCCACTAAGTGCACTTGCTCCAGACTCCCTGCTAGAGCCTTCCCTGTCTGCTGGCCCCTTCTGAGCTCCCAACCCTTGCAGGACAGTTGTATCCGCCCTGCAGGACGATTGCATAAAACCTCAATGTCACAGAGCTGCTTTCGAGCTTTTGATTCAATTCTGACTAAGCTTTCACAAAGCCCAAAGATCCAGGCGCAAAGGTCGCATACCTCAAGGATGTCAATCCAGCAAAAGCACCAATTGAACAAGCGACAAACAAACAGTCAAGCAAGCGTCACGAACCCTCTTTAAACAGATAGACAACTTCCCTGCAATTCCAACACACATGCGCCCCGCTGGAAAAAAGCCTGAATAAAGCTGCAGGCTGGGGTTCAGAGTGCTCAAAACATTTCTGCCGTCTTTTTACTAAGGTCATGACAACAAACTGGTGGAATTGTCCAAGCTCCCGCTGATCAAAAGGGAGCAGCCTTATCCAATTAAAGTGGCAGCTCTCGATGAACACTTTCGATAAGTCGGCTGTTGACACAGGCAAATGAATTATCTTAGAACCTTTGGCTTTGCACCAAACCCCCATGTCTCAAACACTCCCTTGCAGCCCGGACTGATCAAGCCAGCAAAGGTGCCGGAGCCCCTCAAAGTCCGGGCAAGCACTGCACCTGGAGCACGGCTTATGACTTTTGCTCTCTCATTCAACTCACCAAGAACCATTGTGTACATGGGCAACAAGGGCATGAGGATTCGTGTTGACGTGGAACTCTCCTTTTTCCAGCCCAACCCCTTGCCACACCGTCCAGTCGGCCCAAGGCAAGCATGTTCAAGGAGGTGATGACAACACCTCAGACCAGATCTTAAAGATGTGGGCACCTCAAAGACTCGACGTCTGTTCTGAGTTTGTCTTTTGACACGTTTTGAATGTCTCTCAGCGCCCCTTGGTTGTGCACTGGTCAGCCAGCCGTTCTGCTGGCTTCAAGACTTCTGAACAAAGCACAGGGCTCAATTTTATTTTAGTAGCATACTGTATGCCAATGAAAACCCTCGGCTCTCTAAGTATTTGACCCTGGCTCCCTCGGCTCTCTAAGTGCCACACCAAGAGTGCCTCCAATGAGGATTGGATTGGCTGGAAATGCAACGTTCACCTCACATTTGCCACGTGACGTCGCGAGCATGGCTCTCGCTACATCCCCACCGAGCCAGTTATCAAGACGAGGCATGAAGAATCCGAGATATCGCAGCAGAAAAAAACAAGTTCTGAAACTGCTACTTTTTGAGGTCACGGAATGTCATGAAGATCCAAAGCTAAGCAAGTCAAAGCTACCCCTTGTGCCTCAAATGAAGGGGTTGGTGTCACAGCGTCCAAATTGTCCAGCACTGTTCTGTTCCAAGTGGCCGGATCGCTAAATGGGTCGGGCTGCTCTGTAGCAGACGGCCTGGCATTGACTGCCAGTGAAAGCCTTGATCGAAGGGCGGAAGCACTTGATTCGGGGCATCTATGCATCCAAGAGAACAATTTCAATTCGGCATCCAAAATTCAAGTGACAAATAGTGACAGCAACAGCTCATGTCAAAGACAAAACCTCTACAAACTTCCGCCAATACCACACAATCTCCTTAAACTGTGAAGCAGAACCACGCCGGGTCCGCTCGCCCAGCAGCGGTCGCATGAGGATCTTAAGGACCTGGAAGTGTTTGCCCAGCGTGGGGCTGGGACAGGTGTTGAACATCCTTCTGCCACAACAAACTGTCAGGCCAACAAACTTCGCGGTTCCTGGGCAGCTGCATATGTACGTCAAAAGAAAGACTGAACACATGTTGAGATGGAGCCAATGAACTTAGTTAAACTGACCACTAAGAGTCGCTAGACTCTGAAGAGTCCAAAAGTCTCGGACCTTGACCACTGAACCAAACAATATTGACAATTTGGAAGTCTCAGCACTCCCCAACAAGTCCCTTAGCTTCGACTCACTGGACCCAATATAAGTCCTGGTCCCAAGCATCTGGCAAGAGGCAAGATCTGGTAGTTCAAGCTAATTTGTTGCTCCTGGCCAGTGACAGTGGTGGGATTGCATAGGGAATTTTAAAGTGGCACTTGATGCTTCCGAAGTATGAACAAACAACAGTTCAAAGACCAGCATGCGCCCTAAACACAAATGATTTGTAAAAAGGTGCATGTTTGCAACACATGTCAGTTCACGACTCGCCATTGACCAAGTCTTGCTTGGATTACTCTGTACTGCATGTCTGTCTTGCAGGGGAGTTGGAGGGTAGGTTGGAGAAATATGATATTCCTGATGAGTAGTGTAGGCGTATACGTGACAGGACGCCACTCACTTGACACATGGGACCACCCAAGAATTGACAAACTGGATAGTGGCCTACTTTACCGAGAAAAAATGCATCTGACTTGCTGCAGTCAAGTGTCCTGGTCAGATCCTAGCGCCAGGCCCAGGAGGAGCAAGAAGAACGAGACCTGAGCACAATGCCCTAAGAAATCCAGCTGTCATGTGCTTTAGTGGTGGGGCCACCTATGAGGTCCGCTAGGTTCATATGCCTATATATTACCCCATCAAAGCCCCATTGTCATTCCATTGCTTCTTGCTGGTGTGGGATGCCACCCGAGCGCGTAGCGCCAAAGCGATCCAAGGTGCACGGCTCTACAACGAGTCAAGCGACGCCACAGGTCAACAACGTATAAGTCCCCCCAAACCAACATGTGGCTGTAGATGCTTGTGACGAGGTAATTTGAGCCTAGCGCGGCCAGTTTGCTTGGTGATCAACTTTGCGTGAAATAACTAGCATTTTGTCGAGCAATGGCAGCTATACATGACCAACCATCAAATATGTTTGTGAAAAAAGAAGGCAAAGCAAAACACAAGCAAATAACAAAGCACAACAAAGGGCAACAAAATACATATTATAAAAGAAAAACAGTAAAGCAAAACAGAACAAAATAACGCCTGCATAGACTGTTCAAGGACATGCTTGCGTTGTTTGCGTCTTTGTTTGCTTTAACTGGTTTTCGTTTTGCTTTGTTTTTGCTCTATTTTTGTTGGCTCCTTCCTTGTATCTATGGCTGGCGTGCCGAACTCAAAAATAGCAACCTTCCACTGCACATCACAGCGCGACACATCGTACATCTTCAAACTGAGGCTGACACTGCATAGCCTGCAAGGCCTGGCAATTTTGCACAAGCAGTCTCTATTAGCACCAATATTGGAACCCTCTGCCGCTTTCATCTCGTGGTTTGTTGACTGCATGCCAGTTCTGTGTCTGCATCTGCCTTGGACAATGAAAAAGTGCGAGATTTATCTCTCCTAGCAGGCTAAATAAATAAGTGATCACAATTAGCATAACCATGGCCCACAAGCACATCACATTAAAAACGTATAAGATCGTATAAGATCATATATTATATTAGCAAGTATACTTCTTGAATGTATAAGTTGACCTCCTAGCTTCAGCCCCTCTCAAAGCAAGTTGCACCACTCCGACTCTGACCGTTCATGGGCCCAAATGCCTGCGGACACGGACATGGAGAGATTGGCATCCTCATTGGGCACCTAAGGTCCAGGTCATCAATGGCCGCTCTTGGTTCCAGGATTTTCCAGGGAAATGCGCTGTCCTATCTGCATCGAGCTTTCGTTCCAAAACCAAAGTGAGATGTACGCACCGAATACCAGCAACGAAACTTGCCCAACACCATCCATATCATTTGATTATCCTGGATGATCACATGACATGTCCAAATTAGCATACTTTTTGCATTGCGACGGGATCCTGCACGTCACACAACCCGACTGCACGAGGCTGAAAACAGCCCCAAAGCCCCCGGCAATCGATTGCTGCCGGGTTATGGCACCGAAACCTTGGTGAGATAGGCCAGGGTTCTGGCAGCATTATAAGCTGGGAACAGTTGGTCTTGTCTTCATGGTAGGGGAGCCAATTGGTTGGAAGTCATGATGCTGCCTTTGTTCATTCACGCGCCTATACTTCAGGTGAAGAGAGCCCAGAATCTGTAGGACGCCCAAGGACTCTCTCCCATTGTCTGAGCTACTGGCAGCCCACAGATACAAAGGGCCACACCTCACAATGGGTTCAATGTGCTGAGCATCTCTCAAACAAATCCTATTTCTTGCTCCCACCTCAGGAAGGCATTTCCTTGCATGCAGGAGGTCCAAGATCACAAAGACCAAATCAATCAATATAGAGTAGTGGTCGGCTGCGTGCTAAGCGGCTAGGCAGCAAGCGGCAGCGTGGCTGAACACATGCAGCAGCAACAAGAAACGTTCCCAGTTCACAAGATTTACAGTACTATTGTTGTCCGAGGCTTGGGCTTCGGCCCTGCTTCGTTGCATAACTGTCCCAGATTCCTACTTTATAAAGGAAACATGGGGTGTTGCCGTTCAAATAATTTTTACAATGGTTCAGCAAGTGCATCCTCAATCATCCTCACATTGATGCAGTATTCACTTGCGCAGGTCTTGGGCCTCGGGCAGGCACAAACACTGGGGGAGTCAGATCCACTCCATACCTCAGCCAAAGCTCAAAACATCTCAAAAAGCATTTCCACAGAAAAGGTCACAAGTTGTCAGGAGCGCTTTGCATGGGATGGACCTGGCACATCCTTTGTGCGCACTGCCCGCGTCACCGGTTCACGGCAACATTGGAGGTTCGAGTCAATTGTTTTGGCAAGCAGCCTCTCGAGCAAGTCATCGTGGAACCAAACGGGGGCGGTATGGAGTCATCACAAACTCAGTGAGATCTGGGACGTCTGACTGTTGAAACCAGTCCACGCATGAGCTTGGATTCTTGAAATCCGTGAGCACAGCTACAAGCAAACAGGAAACAAACATCAGCATTCTAAAAATACTTAATGCAACAGCTACAGTATCCCATAAGAAAGAATGCGCAAAAAATGACGGTTGCCTTCCAAACTTCAAGAGCACACCCTAATATCAAGCTCCGCTCAGGCATTGTGTCCTTCATGTTGGATGTTCCCATCAGGGAAATCCGCACGCAACTCTCATGGGTGAGCTATGCTCTTTCAAGTTTCTGCTCTTCCAATGCGGCAAACATAAGAAATTGTTCTATATAGTCTAGCATCTCTAAATTCCAGCTCATCCACTCAAGCTTTGTGACTCATTGTGCAAGCAGAAGGTGGTCCAACACCAATGACTTTCGGTGTTTCAACACCAGCTTGGCAGAGCATAAACAAGCCGGTGGCATGGCAGGATGGTCCCCAAATCCCGACATTTTTGTTGCGGCCATGCCATGCCAATGTGGTGGTACTCAGCCCCAACCAAGGGGTCTGGATACACTTCGATGCCCTGCAAATTATGACGTGAGGCCTGCAACCATAGGAATTCTGGACAGGCCCAACAAAAGAAACAACACTATATATTGGGAAGCATTTAATAACATGTGCATCAATGAAACATTGAACAAACGATGAGAGCTTTGCGGCCGTTTCCTATCGCAGCGGCTTGCGTCACTTGCATCCATCTCTATCCATCAACCTTGGCATCAAGCATAATCAAATGCAAACGGTCTCATCCTTGCCTTTTTTGGCATCACTATCAGGGCTTTGAACAAACATGCAGAAACAACATGCTCAAACCTGCAGCAAGATGCAAAGTCAGACTTAGCTGCCACTTTGTGAGAGAAGGCTATACCGAATTGCGAACCTCGGATCAAGGCGCTTCGACGAGAAGAAACTCAAGAAATAAGAAACACCCTTTCAACTTTAAACAAACACACAGCTCAACTCCCCCAGCCAAACAGCAATCACAAACTACGCGCACGCACAAATAGAAATAGTGCACCTGACCTGCACAAAGGCACGCTTCACACGATATAGATTCAACGGCAAAAGGATGCAAAAGGCATCCTTATCAACTACCATGTCAACCAGTAGATACCAGTAGCCTTTGTAGATCTCTACTGTCATGCGTGCATTAAGGGATGCCGTGCCCTTAGGCGCACACACACACATGTACATCCCCTCCACCCCTCCTTCTGCTGATGCCAAGCCACTATGTGCGCCTATACATGATTTCAAACGCTTTCGGATCCCAGGCTCAAGTTGAAATCCTGGGGTGTCATGAAGATCTGCGCCTGCAAACGTCCATTGTCAGGTGAAAGTGTGGATTGAAGCAGAGCAAGTGAGAAAAAGGATTGTGCATTTGAGATCGGGTGTGCCTTGCCCTTGGCCAGGCTGGATGTGTCAGCTTGGCGGGCTTTCAATGTTTGCTGCAGCCTGGGCACAGTACGACGCAAGCTGAGAAATCTGTACCTCTTGCCTCATCCGTCAGCCATAATCCGCTTTGATCCCCAACACCACTGAGTTGAATACTCGGACGCCAGTTCAGACTCAAAGGCACGAAGCTCATTGAAGCAACGCAACAACCCCACACGTGCTGAAATGGACATCACTCATGCCACCCATCCCCCGGCACCCGCCTGTACATTTCTACTCGCTCCGTGACATTTGGGACCGACGAGCTCAATCCAGAGATGTAGGCCAAGGCTGCTTGCACCTGACTGACTTGCGCTTGTGTGTGCCATAGATCAAGGATTTACTGTGGATGATTTAGCGTGCCACTAGTCTCTGAGCCTCTAAGCTCTTGCACCCAGTCCATGTGGTCCATAGTCCATACTACTCCAAGTATGTCTGCCGCTCGGAACCGTTCCAATGATTGACTGACACTTCTGTTGCATTCCCACATTGCACGGACTGAGTGGAGAGCCAACTTCTGACCATCAGATTGTCCCTGGAACTGTTTCTGCAGCCTTTCGTTGTCGGCCTCGAGGCATGCATCAAAGGTGGCAAGGTCAGCTAGCGGTACATCTAAACAAACACACTGCCCACTTGTCACGTGCTCATTAGACAGGACCGTCAGCGATGGCCAAGGATGACGGGGCCTGAGTTTGGATCAGCTCTGTCCGTTGCTGCTCCAACTTGATGTCAGCCGTCAGCTTAGCCGCCTCGCAGCAAGGTAGAGTCAAGCACAGCAACAGTCTACTGGCGGCATGACATGACCCTGTTGCCAGGTGGCCATTCCTGACACCTTTCTAGTACACAACACATGCTGAGGGTGTGGCATTCACTGCATTCTGACTTTCCTGCTTCTGGAGCTCGTTGATGCCTTGAAAGTCTGAACAGAAATGACACGGCCTTGCTGAGAATGACACCACTATCCATATACATATATATACAGTATTATACAGTAACATGATGTACTTAAGCGTATCTACGCTGCGACCTTTGCAAAAGCTACATTTTAGCAAGGTCCAATGAGCACATCTTTGAGGAGTTCGTTGGGCAAGTCTGCAACAGCGGGCCACTCCCGCCAGCGATGTGGGATGGGCATGGCACTCACACAATGCAGAGGCAAGGCAGCTTCGCAGAGTGCTCACGGTGTGGGGCCCGCAACAAGATCGTCGGCGACAAGGTCCAGCTCAACCGGAGGCTGAAAGAAGCCTGCCCTTCCAGATCACAAGATCTGCGAAGGATGTTCTCGTGAGCACATGGTAGCACGGAAAAGAACCGTGGAAAAAAAAAATAAAAAAAAATAACATGATGTACCGCAATCACGGAAAGCTGCATGATTTACCTGCCAATCAAAACGTCCCCCCACCACACACACACACACATCAAATGCACAAATATATAAGTTGGTTGCTTTTTGCTTCACGAAATGGGGCTTGGGGCTTGGGGTTACCAAAACTCTTGAGTCTTGAGCAATACCCATATCAAAATGGTCACTGGGCTCATCACGCATGGTAGTCTCCTTGATAATGTTCTGCAGTACCAAGGCCGTCTCAGAGTCCACGGAATCCTAAAGAAAATTGCCGTCTCATTCTGTTGTTTGCCTGCCTTCAGAATGCGGTAGTGGGTCAAAAGGATTCAAAAGGATTAACGTGCACGGTGAGTGAGAATTATCCTCAAACCCTAACCTCAAGCATTACTTGCACAGCCGAACTGTTTTCCGATATTCATCTCGCTGTGCCATATTGTGCCAAGCATTGCCACACGATAGGCCAAAACCGAACTGTAAACAATTTATATACGTATAGCTCTCAAAGACCATGAGGAACCGACGCTCATCGCCAAGGTACGAAACGGGTGATTTCAAGGGATTGGAGCTCCACACCTCGATCCGAGTAGAAGGTGTCCGAGGCCTGGCTCTCTCCAATGTGTCAATGAATTGTTTGGTCACTGAATTTTGGTTCCCAATACCTTCTCTCCACTCTTCTCTCCATACCTTCTCTCGAATCCTTCTTGTTCTTCTTTCATTAGCTTATCGGTCTTTCTTTGGACCTGTAGCCCTTCGTCAGCCTTCGTCCTTTCCTTTTTCCTTTTGTTATTTTTTGCATCTCTTTGTGCTGACTGGAATCTCGTGTCTTTGAATGTGCGTCGTCGAACCCCGGTTGGCTGGGTCGTACGGGTGGCTCTAGCGATACGGCCCACAAATGCGGTGCCATCCAACCGGCTGGGCAATGGAAAGCATGACACAACTTGCACTTCCTCAGTATTGCTTTTTAGCCACGGCCACACCTCTCAAAACAGTCCTCGGCACCAAGTTGTGAGTACTTGCTCAAAAATCTCAAAGTTTATATATCTATCCCCGTGCGAATTTCAGGTGAGGGTCGTGCTCCCCATTCTATAGTGATAAAATTGGGACACCCAACCCTGGGGTACCCCACAAAACTCTATAGAATCAAAACCAAAGGTATGGCTGGCAGGAATAAACCTCTAGAAAATCGAGGCGGCCCCTTAACATCAGAAATGCCACAAGTGCCCAAGATGAGCCTATATAAAATGAATAACCCGCATCTGGGTAGGATAAGAGGTCAAATTTACTTTAAAAAAACGCAAAGTGTCAATTTGTCGCTATTTTAAACATACATGAACAACCTCATTATTCCCATGACGTTCTATACAATGAGAATCACTAGCCTCTACAAAAGCAACACCCTCTATAGAATCAATGCAACCGATGCGACTAAGACTGAAGACTCTATAGAATTCAATTCAGTGAACAAGCAAAATATCCTCTATAAAATCGAAGACACTTTCTATATATAGAATCAAAAACTTCATGTATCAAGATTAAGTTCTAACATCCACAAAATGATCATTCTCTGATATCATGCAAATGGTACTGATAATGGAAGTTTTAATTCTATAGAGAAGCTACTCTCTATAAAATGACCTCAAAATTGGGGGGTCGACCTCCCCCATTTTATAGAGGAAATTGGCAGGAGGATATATATCTCAAAAGTCCTGCCTCTGCAATAAAAAATCAAGGCAGTATTTTCCTCTCAACCCCGCCAGCTCGAACGCCATTCGGATTTTGCGCACCTGCGAACTATAAGTTGCTTGTGTCAAATTGTTGAAGCCAGCCATGAAGTTCGCGAGGGTCAGCCTTCCATGAAACAATCCAGTATTTCAAGCCCCTTGAATTTCAAAGGACCACAAGGAGCCTTGCGTCCCTTGGGTCAAAAAGAGAGAGAGAGAGAGCAGTGTTC